ATGATAATGATAAATTTGAAAAATTGGTTAATTAAAGACTTTAATAAAATAAAATAAAATAATTTATTTAATAACTATATTTGGAGTCCTTGTTTTTTTTTTTTTTTTAATGTTTTCAATTGAAAAGCGCTGGAAAATTTTGGAATAAAAAAAAAAAAAATTTATTATTAAATTTAAAATCCGTCGTAACGTTTTCCCTCCATTTTTCTTTTTTTTTTTTTTTGAAGATTAATAGTAATGATTGATTGATTGATTGATTGATTTTTTTTTTCGATTTAGATTTGAGCGGAATCGTCGGGGTTAAAGATATAACAGAGGGTAACATCATTTGGCGACAACTTTTCGCAGAATTTTTAGGAACATTTTTTTTGGTACTTCTCGGATGCGGAAGTACTATTTCCGGTTGGCCCGAATATTCACCTTCAATGCTTCACATAGCGTTAACGTTCGGTTTGGCCGTAGCAACCATGGCACAGGTAAGTCTGTTTATTTTTTTTTTTTTTTTTTTTTACACGTGGAAACTCGAACGGAATTGAAATAAGAGAGAGAGGGAGGGAGAGAGAGAGAGAAACAAAATTCGTATAAGAATCGAGTTTTTTTTTTTTAACCTCGCACTATAAATTTTATCCCTAAGAACCATAAACCACGAGGAAAGAGAGAGATAGAGAGAGAGGGAAAAAGAGAAAAAAATTTTTTTTTTCAATTTCGTAATATTTTTTATAAATAATTTTTTTTTATTTTTTGAAATATTATCATTATTATTATTATTTTATTAATTGCATACCTGTCGAAAACTATTTAATTTGATTATCGGATCACCAAAAAAAAAAATTCCAAAAGAGAGAGAGAGATAGAAAGAGAGTTTGGTTGGAAAAACAATAATGATTTAATAATAAGGTCTTTTTATAAAATCATAAATTTTTTTTTTTTTTTTTTTTTAATACTCGTTACCATTTGCATTTGCGTGAAGGACGAAGAAAATAAATTAAAAGATGTTAAAGAGAGAGAGAGAGAGAGAGAGAGAGAGTAAGGTAAAAGATTATGATCGTAATATAAATGTAATTTCACCTTGTGCTCCACATATTTTTCAAATGTTTCTAGTCTCATCTTTATTATTATTATTATTATTATTATTACGATGATGGCGTCGTCGCGTTGTTGTCCCGACGGCGGATGAAGGGGAGATGATCGCGCGAGAGAGAGAGAGGGAAGGGAAGGGGAAAGAAGCTGGAAACATTTTGAATAAACCTGGGAAAAAAATTGATTTATTACTAATTAATTAATTTCGTAATTAAAATAAATTTCAAACTCATTTATTTATTTATTTATTTACTTAAAATGTTACCGTAAAGTAAATGAATAAGAAAAAGGTAAGTTTATGTTATTATTATTATCATTATTATTATTATTATTAATACCCAAATGTTAACCCAGTTAAGAAAGGGAAAACCTGTTTTTTGCGTTTTTTTTTTTTATTAATCATTTAATTAAATGAATTTCTTAACGTTTTTTTTTTTTTTCGAGTCGATTTGTTTTTATTTGTTTGTGCCACCACCACCATCATCATCATCATCATCATCATTATCATTATCATTATCATTATCATTTTACTACGTAAGGAAAAAAGTCGTTAATTAACGGTAATAATTATTATAATGATGGCAAGGGTGGATTATAGGGCAATAAAAAAGAAAGAAAGAGAGAAAAGATGTTTTTATGAAGGGTGAGAAAGAGTTAGAGAGAGAGAGAGAGAGAGAGAGAGAGATAGAGATAGAGGTAGAAAATTATTTTTAATAATCATTTGATTCAATTTAAAAAAAAAAAAAAAAATTATTAATTTCATGTTTTTCTTTCATTATTAACAATTAGAAATGTGTTATTAAGGCGGGGTTCGGCGGATTTTTGGCATTTTAAAAAAAAAAAATTAATTTTTTTTTACCGGCTTGCCGTCGTTGAAAAATTTAAAAAAAAAAAAAACCCGCCAAATTTTTTTTTTTTTTTGTTAATTAGTTTTCATTTAATATTTCATGCGTTAAAAAATTTTTTCTTTTTTTTTATATTTAATTAATAGGCGGCGTCTTATTTTTTAATCGTGTGAGAAGAAGTAAAAGTAAAAGTGTCAGCAGAACGTTGATTTAATTAATTATTTATTTAAACAATTTTTTTTTTGTATTTGAAGAGCTCTGATTAACGGAAAATTTTTAAAATATTCAATTGAGTCAGATAATTCAAAAAAAAAGTCGTGGAAGGAGAAGGGAGGGAAAAACTTTCGAAAGAAAAAAACAAATCAAAGATCTAGTTTCTTTAAAAGGTATATATATTTATTAATATTAATTAGTTAAGAAAATTCATGATCGAATTGAATTATTTAAAAAAAAATAAACACGATATTCCCGCCCTTGCCATGGGGGTCCCGAAGGACCTCCAGCAGCAGTTTTTTTTTTGGAATAAATTGTTTATCCCTGGAAGACATTATTGCGACCGCCAAATATAAAATCGCCGCCGTTATTTTATCAAAAATATGAACGAAGTCGTGGAATTAAGCAATCAATCTATCTCCTCCTTCATTTTGATGACTCACAAACTCTAAAAAAATTTTTTTTTAAATTTATCCCATCGGAAAATTTTGAAAATCGTGTTTTCGGGGGAGGGGAGAAGGGGGGAGGAAGAGAGGGAAGTTAAAACTGACAATCAAATTATTACGCGTTTGTATTTAATTGTTGTGAAATTAAAGCAATGACAAAACAAACAAAACAAATACATAAAACGCCCTGGTTATGAGTGAAACCTCATTTATTTTGTCGAAAAATGTTCATTATCATTGTTCAAGGTAGTAATAATAATAATAATAATAATATTAATAATAATAATAATAATGATATTATTAATAGCAATTCAAAAAAAAAAAAAAATTAAAAGTCACCGGTCGTGTCAAATCGAACAATCTCGAAACAAACAAAAGAAAATTGGAAAATGTCTAGAGTGTGTGTGTGTGTGTGTTTACATCGTCGGGTCGTGTAAAGACACGACGACGCCATTTTTTCTTTTATTAAATTATTATTATTATTATTATCATTATTGGAAATGTACAAATAAAAAACAATTTTATTATTAAATGGAAGAAGCACCTTGACCGTTTGAATATTTCAATCGAATGTACAACAAGAATTTGTTGTGTGTGTAGATGTGCGTGTACACGTGCGTGTGCGTGTGCGTGCGCGTGCACGTTAAAGATTCATCGATCAATTCCACCCATCATCGATATGACAGAAAACATTATTGTAAAAAAAAAAAAAAATTATTATTATTATTTTAACCTCTTAAAAAGGAAACAAACAATAAAAAAAATCGATCGATTGTATTTTATAACATTAAAAATTTTAATGACGTCATCAGAAAATTTTGAAAAAAAATAAAATAAAACGCCGAAGGGCCCTTTTGTTGTAAGGGGGAGGCGGAGTAGGAGGAGAAAGAGGAGGCGGAAAAGGGTACAAGCGAGGAAAATTTAGAAAAAAGAATTTTTCCGAAATTTATTTGTATTTATTTTTTATCCCACTCATCGTTAAAATTTTAATTTTCTTTTTGTTTTTTTTTTTTTTTTTTCCTGACAATAACGACTTTTTTTTATTTTTTGTTCTGACCGGAAATGAAACCGAATCGAATAGTTTTGATATCGATTTTATAGATTTTCGAAAAACGATTGAAAAGTTTTTAAAAAAAAATTTTCATCATTTTTAAATATAAAAGACTTTACTATTATTTTTCACAGAGTGTGAGAAGTAGTACTTCCGGTATTACGTATTTCCGGTGTTTTCAATTAATCGATGCGACGCGAAGAATTGTCGATTCGATCTATGGATTTTTTTTATTACGCATCGTTTTCCTTTTTTCGTTTAGAACAAACTATAAAATTTATAAAAAAAAAATTCTAAAAGGCCCAAATGGAAAAAAAATGGCGGTTACTCATAAATCAAAAAAAATTTTTTTTAATTTGCTATGTAACAATTGTTTTAAAGCGAGAATGATTTTGTTAAAAATTGTTTTTTGTTTGTTTGTTAATTATTATCATTATTACTATTATCAGGGGCGTAAGAAGAAAATGTATAAAGGATTAAATTTTTTTTTTTCTCAAAGTAATTAATTACGTGAGGCGGTAAATTAATTTGTTGAATTTGTCGTGTCGAATTTACTTTTTTTTTTTTTGTTGTTGTTTATTCCCGAAGACGAAGATCGATCGATCAATCAATCAATCAATCAATCAAATGTTGAATATTGATTTCCGTTTTTTGTATTGCAACCCACGTGGAATTTTATTATTTTGAAAACGAATAAAATGGCAAAAAGGTTGCACAAAAAAATTTTTTTTTTAAATTTTAATGAAAAGATTATTTATTTAATTTACACACGCAGTATGCGTGCGTGAGTGCGTGCGTGCGTATTCATGCGTTCGTAACGAATCGTAAAATTTTTACGAAATTTAAAACGAGAGAAAATAATTGCGTAATACGAAGGAAAAAAAAAAAAAAAAACTTCAAAAACCAAAAATGAAAAATGTTGTTTGTTATTTTTGTGTGTAACGGTTGAAAATTTTTAGTTTAGAGTTATTAACCCATTTTTTTTTTTTTTTTTTTTTTTTAAATTTTGTCTTCTGCTAAAAATATATATATATATATTTTGGTTGTGATAAATTTCCTCCGGTGTTTTTTTTTAGAAATCGAAACGTTTTTTTCTTTTTTTTTTTTTGTTTCTCTTAAGAAATTAAGTAAATCTAAAATCTAATACCTAAAAAAAAACTCCAGCAATCAACCGATCCGTGTTTTCCAGTTACAGTTAAGTTCAAGTTCATTTTAAAAAAAAACTTGCATCGCTTTGGGGTTCGTAAATTGTTGCAATTAAAAAAAAAATAATAATAATAATAATAATTTGTTTTTTCCCAAACGGTATGGCAGCACAAAATAATAATAATAATAATTTTTTGAGGTCAAAAATCGTAAATAGATTAAAAAAAAAAAAAAGGGAAAACTAATATGGCGGATTTCAATTCGTTGTTTTTCTTTTTTTTAATGTAACGCACTCTCTAATAATTGTAACGGACTCTTTTTTTAAAGTTACGCGCCTTTTTTTAAATTTAACGCGCCTTTTTTGAAATTTAACGCACCTTTTTTGAAATGTAACGGTCTTTCATTTGAAAATAAAAAATTTTTCAGGGAATTTTCAACGTTTTTCCTTCGTTTTCGTCCTCCTCTTAGTGGAATTCATAAGGTATAATTTTTTATTAAGGACCAATAGTTGTTTCATAATAATAATAATAATAAATAAATAGTTTCCCACAATTAGATAATGTTACACAATGACAAGTTATAAATCCGTTTGGTGGTGGTTAAATTTAAAGGACTCGGCGGCCATAATGGCGCTCGAGGAAAAATCAGACATGATTAATAATAAACTTTTCTTAATTTTTTTTTTTTTTTCGGGT